GATAGTCGCAAAGCAAGGAGTACGGTTGGGTAGATTAAACCTTAGCCATAGCTGGGGTTTAGGCCAGCGAAGGCTACTACTTAAATACATGAGGATTAAGCTAATAATAGTACTGTGAGAGTCCAAACCATGCAGTAACTGCACGATAGAAGCATATGAGTAAGCAGTAATGAGTAATAGATAAGAGAAATGAAAAAAACTGTAACATTCTTTCAGAGTGATCATTATCACAAGCAACTCTTTATCATAGATTTTGTAGTTGCATTCCATTGTTGAGAGGGATTTTGACAACATTGTCAGAACGACTCCTTCTGCAAATTAATGTTTGAGTTCCTCAAATGCCTCTTTGTTCCTTTCCCCAGGTCTATGAGACCTTCCCTGTGAGTTTGGTCATTGGTTTGACAATGTTACTATAGTGCCAGATAAATCATCAGTAGAAGTTGGTGAACCCCAAGAACATGTTAAGCACTAACTCTAATCTGAACCAAAGTGTGACCTCTATCCTGACACTCGCATTCAGTGATTCAGTATTAGAGGGTCTTTGGCAGATTGCGAGAAGTTAGGGCATCACTTAGATAGTAGGAGCAGGGAGCTTGTAAGAGTTAGGAGTGTATAATCTTAGCCAAAGCTGGTACATGTGGGTTATCAGTTATCCAGGATACAGCAGCTGTAAACTGGGGTGATGGCAACCGGGTAAATGGGTAGAAGGTATGCCAGCAGAATATCATGGGTCCAAGAGATAAGATAGGTAGGTCCAGAGTTCTGGGAGATAAGGATAAGATAAAATAAGGAAAATAGGGGTAAAACTGTAATAGAACAATTGTAATTCTTGTTTCTTGGTCAGTTCTGGCCAATCCATGATTTCTATGATTTTGACAGAGTCCATCTTGATTGAGCCCTCACTGATGATGACTCTGAGGTACTCAGTTTCTAGCACCTCAAACTCACACTTTTCCACCTTTAAGAACAATTTGTTCTTTCATAAGATCTCTAGGACCTCTTGCACAATTCTTCGGTGCTCTGCCTTGTCCTTTGTGAAGATGAGAATATCATTAAGGTAAATTGTGACTTTTTCTCATGCAATGAGACCTTTGAAGATATCATTCATCATCCACTGGAAGGTGATGGGTGAGTTGGTGAGCCTGAAGAACATGACAAGGGGCTCATAGAGACCTCAGTTGGTACAGAATGCAGCTTTGAACTTGTCCCTGTCCTTGATTCAGATGTTATTGTATCCCCACCAGATATCTAGCTTAGTCAAATACTTCATGCCCTTGAGCTTATCCATTCAACCTGTTGCCAAGTTTTCATCAAGAAACTTGTCTAGCTCCTCTTGCTCCTTTAGGTTTAAAGGGTAGACCTTGCAGTCTAGGCTCGCATTTGTGTTAGGGGTCAACTCAATTGCATGATCCCAAGGTTTGCAAGGGGGAAGTTTGTCAAAGTTTTCTTTTGCAAAGACATCAATAAAGTTCCTGTAATGATTGGGGACGATTTCTTCAAAGGACTTGACTTGTTTCTCTTCATTTGCCTTAGCTGCCAACTTGTTGGCTTTGTGGCCCATTGCTCATACATGAAAGGCCTCATCGAAGTCAATTATGAGGATGGTATCCCTCTCCTCGACTTCTGTTCAGGATCTTTGTCTGAGAGTTGGAACGGTATCTTGCAACAATCACAGCATGTTAAGGTTACCAATTCCATTTTTCAGTCGATGATCGGGTTGTGCCTTTGCAGCCAGTTGTACCCCAGGAAGATTGGTGTTATTCCTAGGTCCACAACAGCTAGCTCTATTCATTTGCTGTGGTTGCCAATTTTGAGGTGGACCTCAGCAAATTCTGTGATATTGCCCCTCTTGTTATGAGTTCCATCTGCATTATAGACTGGAGTCATATGAGCTGCCTTATGTATGGTAATACCATGGTCACAGGTCCATTGTCAGCTTATCATGCTTCTAGTACAGCCACTGTTGATCAGGGCTGTTATGGAATGATGGGTTCTGGTGTTGAAGGTCTCTAGTTGTAAGCTGATAGTCACATTGCATCCTTTCCTCCCATGGATATATTGCAGAGGCTTGATTAGCTGGTCCATATGTTCTAGCTTTTCATATTCCTTCTGGTAGTTTTCCCCAATCTTCCCTTGGAGGTTGGTGACTAGTTCAGTGGTGACCTCTGATATTCGTCGGGGGTGTACCCATTGTTTGAGAAGGTTTTCCTTCTCCCCTGTGGTTTTGGCAAGTCACATGGCATGCTTGGTCCAGGCAGTCCCAAACAGCTTCAGCCATCGAGAGTCCAAAGAGTACTTCTCCAATGAGTACTCAAGGTTACCCTCTTTCAGCATCAGGGTCTTCCTCTTGTTGCTGTTCACCATAGGACTTGTGGCCTTTTGTTCTTCTACAATTACTGAGTTTCCTGCCCATTCACTTGTGCTACTTGAGACTTTTCCTGTTGGGGATGGCCTGCATAGGTCAGATTTTGTAGAGTTCCACAAATTCTGTCAGTAACTAAAATCGTCTTCAGCATCAAACATTTCCTCAATGCTTACCTTATAAGGGGACTCTCTGTCCCCTGTTTGGCCTGCTTGATCCTTGTGGGTGATTGAGCAGTAGGCAGTACTTTCAAAGGCTTTTAGCACATAACTTCTCCCAGGGTTGGAGATCAGTTCTGACTGCACTGGGTTATCGTAAGGGGCACATGAAGATTCTGACACAACTATGCCCTCTCCTCTGCAGTGTCCATAGTTTCCTACCTGTATAGAAGATGATAATATTGTCATCTGTGTGTGTTTCTCTATGATCATATTGTTAGTGTCATGAAAGTCAGGAGTGCTCACAGGCAAGGTTTTGTCATGGAGTGATTCTCCTACTGCTTCATGAGGCAGCTTACCTAAGCCTTTCACTGTTAGGCTACTCATACTTGTATCCCACTGGCTCCACCTGGAGGTAATTGTACTTGAGGTGAGCCCCTCTGCTTATTCTCAGTCAGGAGTTTTGTACTCGTAGAGTGGCAGTAATCCTCTCCTATGCCATGTTGGTGTGATTCATGTTCAGTCTCCTTGGAACATGACAAAATAGATATATTGTCCATAGGTATACCTACAAGCATATCATAAGTGTGACTATTCATAAGTAAGCATGTACCAAAAGAAATTTGAGTCCTAGCTGGTGGGGCAGAATCACCTAGTGCCCCAATGGCATCTCTTTTGCCTTCTCAATCTTTGTTGAGCTTGTGAGGTCTTCCTGTTCTGCCTTGGCCAACATGGCTTATAGGCATTGTGCTGGTATCCTTTTCTTCTTGATCAGCCACTGACTTTCTGGCAGGCACTTGTTGTCCTGTTTAGTATGTCCCTTGTGGCCACATCAGAAAGATTGCCTCTTGTGTTTGAGACAGTCGATATCCATTGGCTGGCCCTGGCCCCCATAGGTGGTGCCAGTGGTGTCCCTCCTGTTATTGCTGGGGGCACCTCCAGATCTGCTGGTTTTGCCAGTCATGGTCCTGAACCCTTTGGTCCCACTGGAGTGTCCTCCTCCCTGTGCAATATGCACCCTATAGTTCTCATCCATTCAGCTTATGTGATCCTTCCATTCCCAATAATTGGTGGGGCATGCATTATCTCCAGACATGATGATTGTCTTAATGTTTGAGTGGATGGCAGCCTTGACAGCTTCCTCCATCTCTTCATCATTGTGGAAGCATTCTGCGGCCACTGTCATCTCCTTGAACTTGCTGAAGAAGGCTACAGCTGACTTGAAGTTAGCTTGCTTCAACTTCTTCCATTCAATGTGCTTGATCTCCACCTTGGCCACCTCCCTGAACTGCTGGCATACTTCCTTCTTGAAGTCCAACCACTTGGATGCTCAATGTCTTTCTGAGTGTGGGTTACAGTAGCATCATTGTTGCTGGACCTACCATGCTATGGCTTCATCCTCAAACAAGGACACAGCAAAGACAACCCAGTTAGGGCAGTATCCATGCTCATTAGAGGTGAAGAATTGAGCATGCTACTCAAAGTAGTATTTGCACTGGGTGAAAAATCGGTCAATGTCACTGGCCTTTCTCTTGAAGACCATGAGGACCCACATCAGCTTTGAGGCCATGTTCTTCCAGGGATTCAGCTGTCTATCTGCAATGGTCCATCCTCCTGGAGGGTCCAGAGAGAGAGGGAGGTTTGTGGGTTGTAGAAGAGACTGTAAATTTGGGTCGCTGCAGGGTGATGGTGGTGCAGCTGGTAGAGGGGGAGGCATGGGTGATCCACTGCCACCTCCTGATGATCCAGATTCTTCTCCTCCTGGTGTGGGGTTGGAACCTCCATTCCCTCTGTTACAATTTTTCCATTTTTATCTTTTCAGTGCCTGTCTTTATCTTATCAGTGCATACAAGCACTCGGACAGTTCACACATTGTCTATGCTTGACTCTTGTGTTGTAGCTGCAACACACAGACCTCATACAATTCTCTTCATTTCATGCATGGTTACCGCTCAGTAGTGTACTATTATTAGCATACTGAAAGTGTATTTAAGTAGAGCCTCAGCTTCAGCTAAGGTTTAATCTACCCAACTCTAAAGCTCCTTGCTCCATGACTATCTAAGTCTAGTTACTGGCTCATAAGACCAGCATCAACCTCATCGTGAACAATCCACCGAAGTGCGAGTGGCATTCCCTTGTTGATCTGTGTTTGTCAAGTTGGTGGCTAACATTTAGCCGAAGCTTGCTTCTTACGTCTCTCACTGTTCCAACAGTGACCAACGTCACATGTCCCTATCCCTCAACCAAACTATCTCTATTGCTACAGCCTTTGGGCTTTTCACAGCTGGCATCCTGTTGTACTGCATAGGCAGAGTCTTCTCTTGCTGCAGATGCAGAGAGCACGTGCACTTACCCCTACAACCAATACCCCATCTCCCGGTACCATACTACGTATACCCATACCCTCACACACAAGTAGAGCCCTTTCTGACCTTACATGATGGATGACCCATTACCCCAATCCTGTCCCCAGTCTCCAGTCAATCAGGATCCGTTGACATCGCAGAGCCTGTACCAGGATCAGAACACTCCAGTGCAGGACTCATGCCTTTCTGTCCAAACCTCCCACTCCCAGCAGAGCCAGGAGAGGAAGAAGAAAGGAATTTTGCGGAGTATATCTGACAAGGTGGAAGCCTCAATGACCTCGTTCCATCAACACTCACAGAAACAAATTCTGACCCCCGTACTGGAAGCTTCTACCTCTCGGCCCTCCAGGCATATGAAGAGGCACTCAGGAGAGGCGAGGATGGAGTCAACCAAGATGGAGACTCAGATGGAAGATCTTACCATCCTCAGTCCCCGTCCCCAGCACCCTTCTTGACAGTTCAAGCCTTCAGCCCTGAATGCAGAATGGTATCGATCAGCAGGCCAATTCCAGGGAGAGGCAGATGGCCAGTTCTCGAAGGAGGAACTGAGAGCAGCGGAAGCACTCCAGCTTCTGTGAGGCATTCCACCGAAGCCATCAAGGCCGCTTCTCCCAAGCCCTACTCACCCCCCGGTTCCCCCCTCTCCATCGACAAAAGGAGAGCAGCCATCTGGGATTGGATCAAGGCGAACAATGACCCCCTCCCCCTCCCTGAAAGACCTTGACATTCTCAAGGGGTCCCCACATACCCCTCTGTCTTCCAGTGCCCTTAGACCAGATTTGCCGACCCTTGGAGTCGCCGAGCGAGCCTTTGTCACCGAAAACTGAAGGATTTTGGAGCTACACATGCTTGCCAGCCCCATCGTCCCATTCGAGCGACCGTGGACTAGAACCCACCTCATGCTCATCGAGTCGGGCTTCGACATTCAGTCTGCCCGGCTTCCCCCAGAAATCAAGGCCAGTCTGGAGGCCGGAAGAGCAGCAGCAGCACTCGCAAGAAGGATTAGGCGGTGGGAGGAGGAACAGTGGCCCCACAAATTTGACAGGACCACTGTGCCCGACTCCAGGCCCTCTCCAACCTGGGTCAGCGACTCCTACCATCCTGGAGTGAACTTCGGAGAATATGGGTATGGAGTCGGAGAACCCAAGGTTGTCGTTGATGTTTCTAACTCAAAACCGTTAAATAAGAATAGGACTTCGAGACGAGGAGATGAAACTCACCGCGTCCTCTTTGACTTTGTTCTTCTTGAACTTAGGAAGCACCTTGCACCCTTCGACAATGTTGCCCAAGCTGGGATCCTTGTTGACCACGATCTCGACCTCGTCGTCAATGGACATCTGCTGAAGGCGAGCAATGACTTCATCAGCAGTGCGCGCGATGGCAGCTAGAAAAGAGATAGATACCGTATCAGTGTCCAGGATGGTGCAGGGAGTATCGGCATTACCCATCACAGTATCCTCCTCGATTGCAACTAGAGCAGGAGGTTCATCATCTGAGGAGTCCTCGACAATGGCCTTCGACTTGGGCAGTTTCTTTCCCTTCTTAGTGGTCTAGAAAATGAAAATTGATTGAATACTGGTGATCTCGACGATAGGTAGCAAGTCCACATACTGTGGCCTTGGCGACGAGAGTGGCGAGATCGACAGGAATTTTGGAGCTGGCGGACATGGTGAATGTGAGTAATAAGTGTGTAGACCAGAGTGTAAAGAGCGTGGAGTGTTCTAAGTCATCGAGGCGAGTTGAAATGATTTCTACTTCAATGAGGACGTTGATTTTTATAGTATGGGGGAGGGGTTGACACGGAACTCTGAGATTAGAGAAAATTTTTGTGGAATTCACATTCCTAGAAAATATATATGGAGCATACATGTGTTTAACTACCTAGCCATACAAATAAGCACTCGAGGACTCCTAAAAATACAGAAATAAGAGCCGGCTGAACTTGGAAGAGATCAAGCGATCACTTTTGATTTAACTTGGTAACTACTGAGATCAGGCGTGGAGTGTCCGGTGACTTAAAATAACCCAAGTCTAAAAATAAGGCAAACGATAAATAGAACTAAGTCATCGAGGCAACCTAAGAAGGCGCCTAGGGGTGGTTAAATTCTTAAAAAGATACCTTACACTCTTAGAAGATTGCACAGAAGAGGACAAGATGAAATATAATTATTCATTTAAAGGCCAAGGTGACCGGCTGGTTAGACATATATAATTCTGCCCGAAGGCGCACTGCACAGACAATGAATACAGAAAAGAAAAAGCCCGGAGGCACAAGAAAACCAGGCGGAACCCAAGAGAAAGACCAAGGCCTGAGTAGATCTCGACGAGCAAGAAGGCTCGAGATACACAGATTGAGATCATACTCAGACCTCTGCGTCCAAGTCTCCGTCGGCGTCCATTTCGCCACCACCCCCCTCTTCACGACGAAGAGCTTCATCTCGCTTTGGGAAAGATGCATCGTCTGTCCAAAATAACAGAAGTCAGTAAAAGAAAGAAGAGAAGAAATGAGAACAGGATAAAACTAACAACTCAACGAAAACAAAGAAGGACCAGTTTGGTCCTCATTCTCTGGAGTCGTCGAGACTTCCACTTCTTGAGCAGAAAACCCGTCGAGGAGTCCGTTGACAGCTGATACGTCAGTAACAAGGGACTCCTCGGCTACGACATGACCTTCATACTCAACAGTGTCCCGGATAACGGCGTCAATGTCCTTGCAAGTGTTGCAAAGAAGCTCGGACAGACGGCCAGCGGTCTCGCAGGCACTATCAAAGGCCTTGACCAAGTACTTAGCCATCCCGAGGAGTCAGTGAAGATCTAGAGGTTGCGATAAGAAAAACAATCAGAGTAAATAAAGGAAATAGTGAAGGAGGTACTTACTGTCAGGCGTCCTCTCCGCGAATGGGTGTATCGAGACGCGTGCTCGGTACCGCTCTTGAGGACTAGCCTTGAACGAACAAACCACCTTCTTTCCCCTTTGACAGTTCCCACAAGGAACACCCCAGCCCATGAATTCACAGGGTTTAGACTGGCTGCCCACAGCACAAAGTGAGCAGGGAACCTTGGGCTAAGAAAACAGAAAAGACTATAAATGAAAAGAGTAACGAGAGATAGGAAACGGATTTACATCCATGGTCGCGGTAGCCAGCCAACGAACTTCATCGGCATCTACTGGCCGCATGGTGATCGGGTCGAAGGCAATATTTCGTGCTGAAGAAGGTTCATCAATAAAAACAAAAATGGATAACCAAGAAGGACTTACAAGGCACCTGGGCGGCAGCTTGTCGACCAAGCTGTGCCATGTGCTGTTTCATCATCTTCTTCGGGAGCTCTGGGCTCTCGTCACGAACATTTGAAGTCTCAACATGAGACTCCGCGGTGGCAATTGCAGCCTCACGCTTCCTCTTCTCTCCACGAGTATGAATAACTTGTTCCTCGACTACACCAACAGGCAAGTTGACGGATGGAGGAACAGCTAGACAGGAAGATAAAAACAGAAGTTAACATTGAAAGAATGAAAGACAAAAAGAATAACACGCACCAGCAACAGAGTGACAATTGGGACCAGGTTTTATATGCTTGGAAGGACTTCCCTGCGAAGCAGGGGGACGAAAAGGTTTCACAACGACTACCGACTCCTCGTCAAGAGAGTTACCGGCATCATTCTCATCGTCCTTGTCCTCGGGCATGGAAGTTGGCCCTGCCGTCTGGCCTTTAGCGAACTTTTGCGGTTTCTTGATGGAAACCATGCCTTTCTTTGACTTGGGCTAAATCAAGGTCAGATCTAGGCGACATGGAAAGAACTTAGCAAAGAAGTACTTGCCTGAGTCTTGCTTTTGCCCTTTGAAGAGGAACCAGATGGGGTTGGAACCGTTTGAGACGACCGTGGCATGAATTTTGGCGCTGGCTCGTGGACAGAGAAACGGATGGCCTAGTCAGGGCGAGGAAATGAAAGTTAGTCGTAAAAGAAGATAAAATGAAGAGAAGAAACGCACGTAGGGTGCCTCATGAGGAGTCAACGACAACTCATCCCACCGCTCATCATACATCTCCTTGGAAATCTCAATGGCAACCAAAGAAAGCGTGTAGGCCAGGTTGAGGGCGAAGCCTCGATACTCAATGTTGGGTCGTGCCCTGGCAGCCTTGAGAATACCAACCTAGACGCCGAGATTAGCGTGTTCAACAATGGTCTCGAACAGAAGATTGAACTCACAGCTGCTGGTGCCGCCTCTTTCAGTAGTTGCACGCAACGCATGGCTGGAATCGTAAGAGTGGCCCCAGGCGAGAACATGGGAGTCAAAGTAGGCCAGAGAGAACGAAGAGTTTCGAAAGACATTGGAAACACACGAGAAAAGTAGAAAGACAAAGACTAGAAAAGAGAGATGGTCATGTAGTAGGCGTAGACAGATCTCGACGAGTAGGGAAGCAAAGAAAAACAAATGGAGTTGCTTCGAGGAGACTTCGAAATAAAATTAGAAGTCTGCCTTGAAGGCCGTTTCCTGGCTACAGGCTGAGTCTGAACCCACGGCTGACACCGAGGACAGACCTGTGAAGGGCTAAGCAAGAAGAATCCATACAAGCATGAACAAGGAATTCGTAACGAGTTCACTAAGAATAAAGATGGACGCGACGCAAATTAAACTAAAAATAAGTTTAGTATTGATCGCGGCTGTCAAACCCTGAAAAATCATGATGAAATGCTGATTTGTAAGACAATGCAAAGATACCCTGTGGGGATTTCAAACGTGAAGTACGAGAACATCTAGAATTCTACAGAGAACAAATAAAGAAGTACCATGGCACTCCATTACTAAGTCGTGACAAGACACAAGTGACTAGGGACAGTCACTATTATAGTAAGGGGGAGATGATATGCCTGGTATCGGGCTACCCGTAGATTTTGCGATTTTACATCAGTTTATGCAATCTACAAGCAGTACAGAGAGCTACAGTGGAGGCTTCGTGCTGGTAGCTAAATACTACATAAAGAATGAAAGCACGGCAGTACAGAACGGACTTAGAAACGACATCTCGAAGAGTCAATTCTACCAGCCATCAACACGCCAAGCTAAGCCCCACCTAAACAAGACTATTACAGTCAAATCTCAGGGACTCGTCTGTATGAAGTATAAAAACCAAGAAGTTGAAGAATGGAAGGAACTAGATGCCTCGTCGCCTCAATGAGTAGAAAGAACCTGTCAAGAAAAATTGCTAAGTTGAGAAACAGATCAGCTTTCGAGATCAACTCAGGCTAGGAAAGGAATAACCTTGGAAGAATGAATAGCCATGTTGGGTACTGAGATGACCAACCTTGATTGTGCAGTGATCAACAGAATATAATCTCGGACCTGCAGTCGATTGCGATCAGTGGTTACATCCTCGAGATCCTGCGCATACCACAGTATTCCATACATACGGTGCGCGGCAAGCCTTGCAGATGGAAGAAGGAGCACCCACGGACTAGTAGGGCACTCCTCAGCAACAGAATAACCCGGCGCAGTTGCATCAAACTGAATAGAAACTACGGAATGGCGCGATACTTGTAGGATAGTGACTCACCGTTTGTATTAATTCCAAAGCTCGTACCATAATTACTGTAGATATGGGCTCCTATACCTAGAACACGAATCATATAAATTAGCAGTGACTAGACGCATAACGGCAGGAAAGCATTCCCCCACATTTGTGCTAGTAGCCTGTATAGCTACCTAATCAATCACTGGTTTTATTGCATATCCTCGACTGAAGTGAATTAAGTTACCAAAGTCAACCCATAAGGGCGACTACAGTAATCTAGAAGAGTGAAGTAGGAAGTAGAGCCGTCCCCGTGTTTGCACCTTGCTAGTTAATTGAACTGCTCCACAGACAAAGGCCTCGTGTTCTCTCTCTCCGAGATTAGCGATCTAGATGTGCTGAGTCGACTTTAAGTCAAAAGACCTCATCTAGTTGAAGTAAAATAAGCCCTAGAACGCTTTAAGTTTGAACAATTGTTGAGTTCAAGGAACTCCAGAGTCTGTGTACTCTTTGCAAGTCTTGTACTTGAAGTCAGAACCTGAGCATTCTTTGTAGAGTGATTTTGCACTCTTTGTAGACCTCGGAGTCTTTGGTTGTTTGATTATTTGAAGTGTCTGCTAGAAGCTCTTCTAGACGATGTCGAAATGAGCATAACTTGCTCGACTATACCTTACAAAACAAGTTCATAAAACCCCGCTATCGCGGACTAGTGTACTTTGTGTAAAACACATCGAAAGAAGAATTGAAGTTGTTTTCAGACAAAACCCCACTAGATTATCTAAATCTAAGTACATCGCAAGTGCTTCTATCGTACTCACCCTCGAACTTATATACATTGGTGATTGTGTGTGTGTGTGTGATTTAGTATCTAGATTGACGATCTAGATGCTTGTTTCATTTGCGTGCTGCCCATTACCGAGCACATCAACGGTCAACATGATCACTGGACTCCCTGATTCCAAGGGATATGATGCAATTCTTGTAATTGTAGACAGGCTATCCAAGGCAATCATTCCAGTGCCCTGTACTAAAGAACTATCTTCTCTTGGATGGGCAAAGATCCTGCATGACAAAGTCTACATGTGATATGGAGTAATTCCATCCAAGATCATTTCAGATCGAGGACCCACCTTTGTGTCCAAGTTCATCAAGGAGTTTTATGCTATGATCAACATCAAAGGAAACCCCTCCACTGCCTACCATCCACAAACTGATGGACAAACCGAATGGGCGAACCAGGAAATCAACAAGTACCTGAGAATGTTTGTAAACTATTGGCAGGATGACTGGGTAGAGTGGTTACCTCTAGCAGCATTTACTCATAATAATCGGAAACATTCCTCCACAGGATATTCTCCATTTAAAGTGAACCTCGGATGGGACGGTCAGACAATGGTGGTGAAGGAAGGGAAAGGAGAAGTACCAGCAGTGGAAAAGTTCGTAAATGACATGAAATGGACACAAGGACAAGCCGCCAAGGCATTAGAGAAGGCAGCGGAAAGCATGAAAAGGGCATATGACAAGCATAAAGGAGATGCAAAGTCATATCAAGTAGGCGAAAAGGTGTGGTTAGACACCACCAATCTATATCTTCCACGACCAAAGAAGAAGCTAGATGATAAGCGAGTAGGACCTTTTGAGATTGTATCGAAACAAGGGGCCTCAGCTTACAAACTCAAGCTACCGGTCAACTGGAAGATTCATAACCGGTTTAATGAAGCACTGTTGACGCTGTATAACCCTCCCGAATTTCCTAACCAACCCAAACCTAGTCGACCACTGCTGGACCTCATTGATGATGAAGAAGAATACGAAATAGAAGAAATAGTTGGAGAAAGAGATCACGTAGTAGGGAGAGGAAAGACTTGACAAACTGTCATGGACTACCTTGTTAAATGGAGAGGCTATCCCGCTGAAGAGAATTCTTGGGTCACTCGAGCAAATTTAGGAAACACAGAGGAGTTGGTCAATGACTATGAGGCCCGACTCCAAAAAATTCACTGGAAGATGCGTAATGATGGGAAGCTGGTTGGAACAGACGACAAGATCCCACCCATGTATCTACAGCCAGAGGGAGTGGTCGAGTATCATGATCCCGACACTCCTTGTGTATCCGAGTGTGGAACTACTGTTCCATCCTCCCAATGCACCAACCCGGAACATCTCGCCTCTGTAATAAATGCAAAGGCTTCAGACGCCCAAAGCAACTTTGAATGGGCATCAATTATGTCTTCAGTCCTAGCACAAGTAAAGGAAATGGCAGAGCGAATGGACCACAAACTCCAGAAACAAAACGCTCAATACCTGGTGGAGAACAATCTTAAAGAGGACTTGATGTGGAAGTACAAACCATATCAACTGGACCCTCGGTTTGACAATGACTGTGTCTGAACCTCTTGGCTCAAACGCTACAAAAAAGAGATACAAGACTCCAGGAAGGAAGGGTGACAGTTCATGGAACCGGAAATCCTATTGGATCCACTGACAGATGATGAGTTGGATGTCGAGAATCTCCAATGAGTGGCCAAAAACTGGGATGCAGATGAAAAAAGTGAAACCAATACTGAGGAGTATGAGTCTGATGGATCATTCAGGACAAATGAGTCTTAAGGAGGGGGTAATGTTATGATTTTTCCATTTTTATCTTTTCAGTGCCTGTCTTTATCTTATCAGTGCATACAAGCGCTCGGACAGTTCACATGTTGTCTATGCTCGACTCTCGTGTTGTAGCTGCGACACATGGACCTCATATGATTCTCTTCATTTCATGCATGGTTACCACTCAGTAGTGTACTATTATTAGCATACTGAAAGTGTATTTAAGTAGAGCCTCAGCTGGCCTAAACCCCAGCTTCAGCTAAGGTTTAATCTACCCAACTCTAAAGCTCCTTGCTCCATGACTATCTAAGTCTAGTTACTAGCTCATAAGACCAGCATCGACCTCATCGTGAACAATCCACCGAAGTGTGAGTGGCATTCCCTTGTTGATCTGTGTTTGTCGAGTTGGTGGCTAACACCCTCCACCTGCAAATAGGCCTAGGCCCATGTGTCCAGTGGGCTGCTAAGCAGAGTCTTGTATCAGTTGATGGATACTACCCCCAACAAAGGAGATGTTGGTGCCTGCATCACTGGAGCTAGGGATGGGGATGGTGTAGTGCTTTCCAACCAACACTCAATGATCAGGGTGGATGTCGTTCCAAAACTTGGCAGCAGCATATTATGTTTCAAGAGAGAGAATTCTCTCCTCAAGTTCTAAGCCTAGGGATGCTGCCTGATAGACTCTCCCTTGTGGGGATGTAGTCCAGGTCACCTTGTAGGGGAGGCATCACTCTGTCCAGTCTAGCATTTGTTTCCATGTCATGTTAAATATTTTGCCTGTGGGTCCCAGTGCTGGACCTCTGGACAAACTTATCCCTTCTCTTGTCGTAGGAGGAATCATTGTCATCTTCCCATGCCTGTTGATCAATCTTGATCCTAGCTCTGACCCAGGGGTCCGACTTCATCAAATCAGGCTTGAGAGAGGTCTTGTAAGTACTGACAGATAGCGCACTGGCAGTGAGAGTCATCATTGGGATCTGCTTGATTGAGCTCTTCCAGGACAGGGTTCAGGAGGAAGGTCACATCTGAAAAGGGTTGGTTTCTAGCAAACCACTCAAGAATTCTCCACTGCCCATCCTCATCTGGGAGGAAGATGACCCACTGTATAGGCTTGATTCAGGGTGGAGAGTCAGCATGGGTGTAGTACTTATAGAGCTCCTTGTCAGAGGAAGAGTCTCTCTCCTGGTTAGTGGTGTCTGAGTAGTCATCTGGGGTGAATGTTGG